CCCTCCCCTCTAGTCAACCATATCGACCCTTTCAATAGTGAATATAATTTCTAAGAGTTATCATTTGCATGGTTAGTTATGATCTTTCCTGAAAACCTGTGTACTATTTAAGCTTATATACAGATACAAGAACAAAAGAGTTCGTAAAAGTTTTTCTTTATCACTTTAGTTCGTCAACTGAATTGCTTGAGGACAAACAATGAGTTAAGCTTGGGGGAGTTGATACATCTCCATCGTATCTACTTTTACAAACACTGTTGCTCTCGTTTTAGACTCTAATTTGCATGATTTGAATGAAACTAACCCGGACTAACGTTGTTTTCAGCAAAACTACCATGATGTTGTTTATGTGCAGAAATAAAAGTTCTCCGAATTGAATGAAACTTTTTGGAGATTTTTTATGCAATATATAAAAAATATTGTAGTGAAGATCAGGGGACCCACCAGTGGCCCATGAGACACATGGGCGCGGCCACCCCCCTAGGCGCGCCCATGTGGCTCATGGGGCCCACTGACTCCGCTAACCCTGATCTCAAGCCTATAAATTCCTATTTTTGGAGAAAAAAATAAGAGAAGAAGTTTTCATTGCGGTTTACGATACGGAGCCGCCGCCACCTCTTGTTCTTCATCGGGAGGCTATATCTGGAGTCCGCTCGACGCTCCGGAGAGGGGGGGGGGTTCGTCGCCATCATCATCACCAACCCTTCATCATCATCAGTTTCATAATGCTTACCACTGAGAGTGAGTAATTCCTTGGTAGGCTTGCTGGACGATGATGGGGTTGGATGAGATTTATCATGTAATCGACTCAATTTGTTAGGGCCCGATCCCTAGTATCCACTATGTTCTGAGATTGATGTTGCTATGACTTTGTTATGCTTAATGATTGTCACCTGGGCCCGAGTGCCATGATTTCAGATCTGAACCCTTATGTTTTCATGAATGTATTTGAGTTCCTCATCGTATCTTGCAAGTTATACGCACCTCTTACCTGTTATGATCCGCATACCCCATGGTGACAATAATTGAGATTCTTTCCACTGATTACTGTAATTTGAGGACTTCATGTATTCATTATGTGTTAATGCTTTTTGATTCTCTATTAAAAGGAGGCCTCAATATCCGTTAGTTTCCTTATGGACCCTACTGCCACGGGAAGGTAGGACAAAAAATGCCATGCAAGTTCTTATCATAAGCACGTATGACTATATATGGAATACATGTCTATATTACATTGATGAATTGGAGGTAGTCCTATGTCGCTCTAGGTTGTGACTGTTATATGATGAATGTCATCCAACACAATTATCCATCACTGATCCAATGCCTACGCTTTTCATATATTGATCTTTGCTAAGTTACTGGTGATGTTGTTACAATCACTACGAAACTGTTACTGTTACCGTTACTATTTCTACTGTTACCCCTGCTATCAAACTATCATATTACTGTGCTACTGATCACTCTACTTCCATTAAGCATAAAACGATGGGGTTTATTCATATTGATTGTGTTTACTTTGTCTACATCATGTCATCTTGCTTAAGGCGTTACTCTGTTTTATACTTAATACCATAGATGCATGCTAGATAGAGTTCGATTGGTGGAGTAATAGTAGTAGATGTAGGCAAGAGTCGGTCTAATTGTCTCGGACATGATGCCCAACACTAATTTGTTCACCCACAATATTCTGTGTGCTCGAGAGAGAAGCATCTATTGAAAACTATGGCCCTCGAGTCTACTTTTATCATATATAAAAACATAAAAATACTTTGCTATAATTTTATTTCTTTTATTTTGATTTGCAATTTATTTATCTATCTACCAATACAAGATTGAATCCTTGCAAGTAACTGCCGAGGGGATTGATAACCCCCTTGTTCACGTCAGGTGCAATTATTTACTTTTATGTGTGCAGGTGCTGCTAACAAGGTTCTGTGTGGTTCTCCTACGGGATTGATAACCTTGATTCTTAACTAAGGGAAATACTTATATCTACTGTACTCCTTCATCCTCCCCTCTTCGAGGAAATCCCAACGCAGCTCACAAGTAGCACACCGCTTATCTTTTTCCCATCTCGCTTCTCCGCGTGCACCGGGGAGTGAGACATCAGGCCTCCGAACTCCGCCTCTTGTGATCCGGTACGAGAGATGGGCGATCAGGTTTTTGGGGAGTGCTTCTGCGCGATTGCTGGATCCTTGTTCATATATAGTGGCTACGATCGACGACGAGTTCCCCAATGACGACTTCTTCCCCAACATCGATGACCCCTTCGACGACATGACGAACAGCGCATATGCTTCCGCTTCTGCTGCTCCATATGTCATTCTATCCTTTCTGTTATGGTTAGTGTTCGGAGTACTACTATTGATTTTGATTACATGACTAGTTTCAACAATCTGTTGTTTGTCTCGATTATCTTCACTGTCATGCTTTTCCTATTGTTTTTCTGGATTAAATTTAATCAAAAAATGCCTAATTATTCAATAGTTTCTTCAACTATTTCCCTCCCGATGTTTGGTTCTTTTATCATACAATTTGTGTGTGACTTGATAACATAGTAAATCGCCTTGCCCTAAGAGAACCACTAGGAGCAGGCTCTTTCCATGTCAAACAAGACTCCTCTACTGCGAATGAAGATGCTATTGAAGGCAAACTGGATGTTAGTGTTCTGCTCATTTCCGTTTTCATCCCCTATCTTTATAAATTTATTCTTCAACCTTCATAAGTTTTGATGTCTACCAGGTGAACCTCATGAAAGGAATTTTTCATGTTTGCTATCTATTTTAACACAGTACAACACAGATGCTCACATATATACATATATACACATTCTACGAACTCACGCAAAATAATTAAAGCTACTAAGCTACGGCTGCTCCCAAGCGTTTGAAGTACTATGGGTGAGTGTCTTTCTAACTGACACGTGTTGGCTACTTATTTGGTTCATTGCTGGTTTTCTTTTTGTGTTTGCTATTTATTTAAACACAGTGCGCAGATGCTCACATATGTGCATATACACGTATCCCTACAAACACACGCATGCACATACTACCCTTATGATAACTTTTGAGGTATTGAGTCGGTACAACATCTTGAGATTGACAATATCACCATAGGCGCCATCATAGTCGACAGGAACATCTCCTCTCACTAAAAAAATATCATCAAAATGCCTAAAATAAATCCAGGAAAATGCAACCACCAGTGCCAACACAGTACAATATAGATGCTCACATATACGCACATGCAATCATTCTTATGAATGCACACACATACCTTACGCCTTAACTGGCGCTGGCGCGAGCGCTAGAAAATCACCGTATTGCGCTAGACCGTATGGGATGGAACGACCCGACGAATACTGTTGAGTACGATACGAGCGGTGGCCCCCACAAATGACGGCGAAAGTAACAGCGGGACCGTGGGAACAGTAGTTGCCTCGTACTTGGACGGGCGGTACAGAATTTTTCCGGTCAGCTCATTCACTGCAGGAACTGCGTGGCTATCTCATGGGTCGGTGTTGTCCATGGCGACGGCGGCGGCACCGGCGACAGTGGCGGTCAACGGCGCAGTGGAGGCCGGCGCTGTGGTGGACTTCCCGGTGGATCCGGTGGTCAGGTACGCGGCGGCTCCACTGCTCCATTCCCATTCCCCACTGCCCCCCCTGCCGCAAAATCTTTGTTGCCGGTGTGTTCTGATCTGTGGTGGCCTGCTTGCCTATCTTCCAAGATGTGATACGCGCCTCGCCGCCGGATCTCGATGGAGGGGGCGAGGTGGGTAGCAGACGGGACGAGGTGCCACCGGAGTCTTCTGTGGCGGCGCTCGTTCAGGGCTGTCAAGATGGTGGGGCGATGCGGTAGACGAACAGAATGTGCCTGCGGAATTGGGTGAATCGACTGTGATGCCGGATCCATGAGCGCCACGGCGAATTAAGAGGTATTGAATCCTGCTTGTTGTGTGCTATTATTTCTGTGTGGATTACTCGTGCGTGCTGCTACTAAAAAGAAAACTGAAGAATGGAAACAGATGTGTAGAGCGTCGTATCCGTTATGAAACAGAGGGGAAAGGAAAACTAAGTTAGCTCATAGAATGTTTGTGCGCAGGGGTGGTGGGCTTGTCCAGTTAAAAAAAATAGGGCAAATGTTAGCTCCGCATAATCAAAGAGTACATAAATCTTGCCAGTGCTAAAAATAGTTGCATGTTGTTCTTTCACATGCTGAACCGAATAAGTAACTGGCAAAACTTAAGTCGCAGATTTTCCTTTGCTTTTTAGTTTTGGTTGAGACCTTGAACCTGACTGTTTGATCAGGCAGTGAATGGTTTGTATTGGTTTCGTTTTCTATATGAAAATGGAGCTGGGTACTCCCTTTGATCAGAAAAATAATTGCGCAAAATGACCACAGCTTGCAGTTCCAAGTGTTGCTCTGTTATGATTTTTAAGCTGAATGCTTGTGACATTCTTTTTGACAGTCTCACAATTGTCATGCATTTTAAAATCTGGACTTGTTTGTAGTTTTTGGGATGCACAATGGTGTTTTTTGTGCCGAAAAAAGGCGTGTTGTGTCTCTCAGGAAATAGAATGTTGGCTTTGTGCACACAAGCAGGGTCAGGATGTGTACCAATCCTACAGAGTGTGAGACTGTCAATTAGAGGTTTTGCGGAGACGAGCAATAAGGAAGTTGTGAAGCCAGAGTTGGGAACAAATTTTGACTCGTTGACGGAGGTGTATGACTTCTACAACCTATATTCCTGGGAACATGGTTTTGAAATCCGATACGGGGAAAGCAGGCTGAACCCAGAGAAAAAGGAAGACCATGCAGGAAATTGTGTGTGCAGATGCTCGGTACGTTGTAATTTCTGTATTGATTTTTGCAGCTGGTTTTAAGCTGATGAAGTGTGCATTAATTAGCTGTGTCACTAATGATTGGTGGTAAAATATGGAACAGGGGAAGCTATTATGAGAGAATACAAGGTCTTGCCGGTGTGAGTGTCCCACGATGATTAGGCTGCTCCAGACCATAGACAACGGATGGTACATAACAGAGCATCGTGGGAAGCATAATCGTGTAATGGCAAGAAGTTGTGGAGAGATGGCGCACTGGCCATCTCACGAGCATATTGATGGCACACTGGCGAGTAGATGTCATACTCAATGCTTTCCTCAAAATAATCACTTAAGAACAGAGGATAGCTTTCCTGTTTGATGCTATCCCTTCTATAATGACAGATTATATTGATAATTGCAATGGTATGCAATGTAACTGCAGGAAATCTTCTCAGGCAAATACTGTAATAGCCACCAATGGTTTGATGACATTGCTTATTGCAAGACTTGACCATCGAGAAGCTATTGCTTGTTTGACTCTGCTGAAACTAATAAAGGTTTGGTTTTTATTCTCTTCTCTCATGGTTGAGTGATTCTACTTGTCAAGTAGCCAACAACGTTTTTAGAGTAAGCCTAGAATTTTGGGTCACTCATGATAAATTAAGCTGGGAATTAGGTTAATAAAAACTAAGGCGGGAATTTTGGTTACTCTGTATCACTGAAGTGTTCCATGTTGTCGTGTACAACGTGAGACATAATATGTGACTATGCTACAAAAATCCAGGTTGTCTGTGAGCACCACCCTTGACCAAAGAAGCTCATAGTGGACAACTACCTTCCCTAGAAGCTACAAAACCTCATCGAAGAATGCAGGGATGGGCAACGCGGCGGTCAAGTGCTGGTCAAACAAATGGTCACCTCACTGTTGAAAGCACTGCACTTCAATATAGTTTTGTGATCTCCAGGCCACCATGTGTTTTCGTCCCAAGCTGTACATGTTCTCCATAGAGCTGGCGAGAGGCGTCGGCTAGGGTGTCCTCGATGGCAGCATTGTTGCAAGGGGAGGGAACTGCAGAGCAAGGTTTTTGAGTCAATGAGTCGTTTTGGGGCAGCGTCTCCTGAATAGTAGACCTTACAGTTGCGACTAGTCGCGACTCATCCACGCGTTGTTGAGTCGAATTTTTTTTTTTTTGACTCATCGACTCAAACAGTGCTGCAGAGGATGCAAATAGCATGGACAGCGGACCGGCCAAGTCAGGAGAATCTGCTGTTAAACGTGATCCCTGAGTGTCAAGGTGGATTAAGAGGTTAGCGTCAGAGTTTATTCATCATTTGCTAATTCCTGGTGGGCCGCCGCGACGAAATATTGTCGTATATTCACCGGAAGGGTGCAGAGTCTGAATGTTTGAGCAAAGTATGAATGTATATATGACATGTTCCAAATAATCTTGAAATGAAAATGAATCGAATATTTCTTCAGTGATTTTGTACTTAGTGACCGTAAGGTATTCAGACGTACTGTTATATATGGTTAATAGGAAGTTGTTGTTCCTTTATGGGTGCCTAAGTAATGCCCTTAGAATGCAGGGCTAATGAGCTGTTGATGCGTAAAAATATAAGCGGACACATGAACGAAGAGCATTAGTTTGTCAAGATGTATGTGTTTTTTTAAACTCGGACAGAGATGTTTGAAGGTGTTGCTACCTAAGTTCAGATTGAATACAATGTGTTGTTCGGTTGTCATCTGTTACACATGCGGACATGCCGGTCCGTGAAAATCAGCAAACATCAAGACCGTAGAGGACTGAACTAGCTCCAGCATTAATGCATGGCAGTCGTGGGCCACAAGCACTGTACGATATTATAGCCACCTGCAGCAATACATAACAAAATACAATTCTTTGCTTAGATCCCCATGCAGACCATCGGTCTAGATAATGGGAGCATATAGTAGTACGACCCATATCGAATTTTCGGCATTTGTTACTCATTCTATCTTCTGTATAAAGTTAGGTTCATTATGATGCGATACCCAGCAACTCTTTTCTGCAGGACACCATTGTTAAGCAAATCAAAGTGAGAATTAGACTTGATTTGATTGATAGCACATCTCTAATTCCGTCGCTCATACGTGCTATTTTTCATGACTGAGGGTTACGGAGTGGAACAAATATTACTCAATCTATCGTGTATAAAGAAATCGTCAATGCACTATAGTGCCAAAGGTTCTAACTTTTTATTAGAGTATTTTCATTCAATTTTTGTTGTTTTGTGAACTAAAACTTGCATGCATTAGAGGAAACAATGACATTGTTGATTTTTTTTTACTTGGTTGCCAAACAGTGAACCTAAAAGAACGGACCTTTGTATAAAGATTAATCCTTTCTATTTTCCAATTCACTTTTTTTGCTGTTTTTCCTTCTTATGTATCTTGTTTCGTTCGCTAATACAATTTTTCATCTGTTGCGGATGGGGTATTACCTGTGAAATGTGATCTTTAAAATGTATATTGGAGCAATTTTCCTTCGATTTGAAGGATCTTCATTTGGTAAAACTTTTGATTGCACCAGACGATTTTTAAACCGTGACTATCTTGATAGAAACAGCTTTGGCTGAAACATTTAAGACATACTCCCTCCGTTCCAAATTACTCGATGTATTTCCCTCCGTTCCAAATTACTCGTCGCAGAAATGGATGTATCTAGAACTAAAATACATCTAGTAATTTGGAACGGAGGGAGTATATCTAAGTGTTTGTAACCATGGATAAACTGTTTTTTGTTATCTTTCGGTATTTATATAAATTAAATTGGCTTGCACATTATCAACTGCCTTCTTTTCTTCTACTAGTAATAATGTACGTGCAATGCACGTTTATATTAGGTAGGATATTAGTTGCACGTTATATTAGGTAAGATATATATGTTGCACGTTGGTATTTGGTAAGATATCAATTACTTTTTCACGGGAATGGTAGGATATTAATTACATGGCAGATTTCAAGGGATAGCGTTGAGTCAAAACATGTTCATAACCAATGGCAGTGGTGGATAATTAGTGCGTTAAACGTGTTTGGTGCTCAACATTGGAGCGATTTAAACCGCTAGATAACATGATTTGACAGTCGAGATGGTTTGGATCTGTCTATTTGAGTCTTTTTATATTAGTATAGATAAGAAAAACAATACCGTCATGCACACGGGCTTCATGACGGGCACGGCGTGCCGCCGCGTCTCTTCCTGCTAGTCCTAGCATTGTATCAGACGAGGAGGAAAAGGTTACCCTTGCTGAACAGGGAAGGGCAAAAAGGTGTGTGTCTCTTCTTTGTGTGACACACCAATGCTCTTGTTCGCATTGATGACCTCATTGCCTCCTTGATCGCAAAAGAAAAAGGCCAGTCGCCACCAAACCTACCAAAGGAAAGCATCTAGAATACTCTCTTGATCAGCCCGAGCGGTGAGAGAGGAGAGGGACAATAGGGGAGCAAACAAAGGACGTCGTACCAGAGATTGTAGGTGTAAACCCTATGGGAGCAGACGAATTCAAGGGGACGAGATTACCGCGGTTGGGCATCCAGCCGTGACAACCAATTTTGTTAATACATGAGCGCTATTATTTTTCAAGGAAAATCTCGAGGACCATAATCATTTTACCAAAGTAACATCACCACAACATGATTGCATTTGGTCTTGTATACTATGCAAAGGTGTTTAGGGAAGATGCTTAGAGAAACAAATCAATTTTTCATTTATTGTCAGCACCTATTTGTAGAGGATAGATGCTTAGTTAGGTACTCATCCTATAGAAATAAGCGTTGATACTTAAGAAAAATTCAGTTTATTTTCCTAAGCATGTTTTTTGATAGAAATTTCCAATCTATTCATTAATCATGGCAATACAGAGAATACTAGAGGTAATAAAATTACAACCAAGTCCATGAACTACCTAGCAAAAACTACAAGCACTAGAGCGAGCCGAAGGCGCGTCGCCGTCATTGCTCCTCACTCACCGAAACCGGGCAAAACTTATTGTAGCAGACAGTCGAAAAGTCGTCGTGCTAAGGACCCAAAGGACCAACACACCAGAGCAGCAACCAACACCGATGAGGAGAGTTGTAGATTGAAAAGATCAAACCTGTAACCAGAAGACGAACAAAAACTAGATCCACCAAAGACCAGCACCGACCAAATCCCACGAGATCCGAGAGAGATACACCTCCACATATCCTCCGACGGCCCTATTCACACTGTCGAGACGGGGGTATGACATGGGAGACATTATTCCTACTGGAAAACATCGCCACCGCCACACAGTCCCAACCAAGGCGTTGAACCTAACAAAAACAAGAATAGGATCCCTCCCACCGACCGAGGGGGGGGGGGTGCGAGATCCTCCGCACCTCCATGGCCCAAAGGTCGTCGAAGGTGAGGCGGATCAGCAACTAGAGGAGGAAGAGAGAACAATACTTGATTATTTACTAGCACATATGCCCGTGCGTTGCAACGGGAAATATAATGATGTATCCATCGAAAGGCCCAACAACATCCGAATGATGCCACCAGACAACGGCAGGAAGGCGCGCAACGGGCATGGCTAATTCACGCGAATTCAGGTGGGTGAAATTAGTTAATGTGGGCCCCACAATTGAATTGGGGGTGATTAATTAGTGTGGGCCCATCCTTGAATTCACCGGGGTAGAGAAATTAATTAGGGTGAGAAGAGATTTACGTGGCTTCGTCCCCAGATGCATTGCAGAGCATTGCAACGCTCGCAGGCGAGGAAGTCTTTTCCCAATTCTACATTGGATACAATGCTTTTGATACGATTTTTGTATGGCCATTCTGATTTTAAAAGGCCCCCTAATTTTCAAATCTTAAAGGCATTATTTGTAAGTTGTCATGAAAAAAAATCTCACGAAAAGGGTTCTGTTAGACCATCTCCAGTACATTAGAAATAATGGATTATAATTCCTTCGCATTTGAACAAACAATCCCTAGTTAGTTACACATACAATACTTTTTTACACATACAATACTTTTGATACAATTTTTGTACAACAATTCTGACCCTAAAGGACCCCCTAATTTTCAAATCTTAAAGTCATTTCTTAATTGTCAAACTGTCCTTCCTTATTTATGTATATTGATCATGCCCTCGTATTATAATTCCTTTGCAACATATTATTATATCCTTCCTTATTTAAGCCCACGTAATATCTTTGCAAGGCCGTTCTCTCTTTTTTTAGGAGCTCGCTTTCCTTATTTTGCCCAAGGATCACACGTTGGTATTATATGGTCATTATCCTCACCTTCCTCCTTATTTTTGCCCAAGGATCACACGTTGGTATTATATGGTCATTATCCTCTCCTTCCCCTTTCTTTTTGCGAAACTCTCTTTCCATATTTTATGCCCGCTAATCATGCCACACATCTCATCTCATGAAATCTAAGCCGTATGTCAGCCATCTTTGTTGCCATTAATTCTTGAGGCTGCTTATTGATTTTGAATTGAAAACATATATAAATCGGTCAAACGGATTGTAAAGCAGCAAACCTTTTGTTTGCATACAGATGCTTTAGTTCTGTTGGTTGCAGCCTTGGGCCTTGGCGTGCAACGTTGGGAGTTCGATCCAACGTGAAGACGTTTACTTTTTGCCTGATCTCGATTTTGCGTCATATTTTTTTCCTGGGCCGATTTTGGGCAAGGCCCAGGCGATTTAGCTCAGCCTGTACGCAAAGTTGTATCGAGGATGAAGCATATGAGCAGCGTGACGGACGAAAATTGACGTACCAAACCAGGTAAAGAATGGACGAAATTACGGTGGTAAAAAGCAATAGCCCCTTTATTAGTAGGTATAGAGGTATAGATATAGATATAGATATAGATATAGATGTTGCTTCAGGTAATCTACCAATTAGAGGAAACCTCTGCAAAACATATTACCTTTGGGAATTATTTTGTACAGTCTGAATTATATATCTCTCCGAAATACAAAACGAAATATGTATCTGGCAACTGTGTGGCAGATTGCAAAACTGCCGCACGATCTCATCAAGGTCCGTTTTGAATTTAGCGGACACGATCGATCCCGCATGGCAGCCTCGTGTTATCTCTCTCCCTCACCCGCTCCACTCGTGCCGCCAAGAAGGCTTCGTGCACCTGCGCGATGCACTCGGCACCGGCCGTGCCGGCAGCCGTCGGTCGCCGGCGTCCCTGCCCACGTCAGCCCCTTCTCCTTCCCTTCTTCCTCTCCATCTCCTCCCTCCTCTCTCTACGCCCGAGCTCACACGGATGCAGCTCCGCCTCCTGGCCTCCCTCTGTACTCCTTTCAACGCCCAACTGTGTCTGCGTTGCTCCGATGAGCCAGCCGCCGCCGATGATCCGAGCTAAGCTCCGCCGCACTCCACCCTGCCTGCTCTTGCTCTCGGTGGTGTAGATGCGAGTTGGGTGTGGTGACCATTCCCCCTTCCCTAGTGTTTGCGAGGGACTGCAACAGTCGGTGGTTTGCATTGCCGCACACCCGCGCTTGCTTGGTATGCTTAGTTTTGCAGGATCCTCGCAAGTCTGATGGAGAATTCTCCAGGTCCCAAGGGAGGATCCTATTCCCAAGGTAAGTTGAGTTCAGTTATCAGTGTGTGTCAACAATTTATGTAAAGATTTTTCTTGTTTGACCACATCATCACCATTGGATCGGAGCTTCGTCTTGCTAGTTTGCTACAACATTACAGCCACGCATGGCTAGCTTCTGGTTCGGTCCGTTGAATGTTTGACTGCCAAATGTCATTTGGATAACTGAAGGTCTAGAAAGGACTTTTATGAGCGATAACGCCTTTACATGTGTCAAAGCAAAAAAATGATCAAGAATGTAAGATAATCAGCTAGAACTGCATGTAACATTGTGTCAAAGAGAAAGAATTGTCAAGAATGCAAGAGAGGAAATCACAGCGGCAACATCCACTGAAGAATGTAAATACATATTACTTTACTTGAGTGTATTGGTGCGAGCCTCTTTGATCTGCCAAAGGTTCTTTCCTTAGGTGTTTTTGCAGAAAGTTTGAGGGATATGGTTAGATTTCTCTTGAGATCCCCTTGCATTATTTTTTCTCTATCTTGGAGTTGAGTTTGCCTGTTAGGTCCCCTGCAAAAAAAGGAGTTTGCCTGTTAGGAGATAGAGATCATCAGTTGTTGATCTAGGGTGGTGGTGTGTTGTCTTTTTGATAAACAACATGGTAATTTTACTTACCGCTGGTGCGTTAACTTACGCAGACTGGACCAAATAACTTTATGGACCTAGGAATACAAACATTCTTAAAGTTGTTGAAACATACCCGGTAACTTCTGTTGGTGTTTCATGATAATTTACGCACTACAAACTTGATAGCTTACTTGCAACACCATGATAAATTTTACTAGAGTTTTCTAAATAAAAACACCACGATAACTTCTATGTAAATAGCATGATAATTTATACAGTACATTTCTTATAAATTATACACAAACATCATGACAACTTTGACCTATGGGATTTTTTTATTAAAAACATATCATCGATAAGTTTTGTGTAAATATCATGATAATTTAAGCATTACTTATCCAATAACTTACATACAAACAAAGGGGGGTAACTCTTAACCCAGAAAAGAAGTTGAAATATACCCTCCGTAACTTTTGTGTAAATAGCATGCTAATATACACACAAGTGAGTTGATAACTCACATGCAAATACCACGGTAATTTTTTACCCCAGAAAAAAGTTGTTGGAAACATAACACCGTTAAGTTATGTGAAAATAGCACGGTAATTTACGCACTACATATCCAAACAATGCGCTAACTTTGACCAAGGAGGCAAAAAAAATTGTTGAAAAATATACCCCGATAACTTATTTGAAAATAACACGGTAATAAATGAACCGTATACTCAATAACTTAGTTTCAAACACCACGGTAACTTAGGGGGGGTGGGGTGGATTTGTTGAAAAATACCCCCAATAACTTATGTGAAAATAACACGGTAATAAACAAACTGCATACCCGACAAGTTGCATACAAACATCATGATAACTTTGACCAAGTGGGAAAAAGTTGTTGAAAAACATAATCACAGTAACTTATATGAAAATAGCACGGTAATATACGAACCGCGTACCCAATAATTTATGTACAAAACACCGTGGTAACTTTGACCAATGGAAAAAGTTGTTGTTGAAAATATACCCCTGGTAATTTATGTGAGAATAGCACGATAATGTAGAAATTGCATAACCGGTAACTTACGTAAAAACACCGCAGTAACTTTGACTAAGGGGAAAAAGGTAGTTGTTGAAAAACACACCTCCGGTAACTTATGTGAAAGTAGCATGATAAGTTGCATACCCCCGGGTGGTAACTTTTGACCCAATAACATACGTACAAACACCGCAATAACTTTTGCCAAAGGAAAATACTTGTTGAAAAACATAACCCTGGTAACCGTTTTCGCATCAGACTGACGGTTTGAGCCACAAAAAAATTGAATTTTATATTAGGAAAGAAGCTAGGATGATGTAAGCTTTTCTCCTCTAGTGCAAACATATGCATCTGTATGTGGTGAAAGGTGGAAAAACCATTTTTATGCCCCCGGTAATTTATGTGCAAATATTATGATAAATTGCGTAGAATAGGCGTGGTAATTTATGTACACCACGCGTGGTAACTTTTGACCCCCAAAAAAGTTGTTGAAACATACCAACATGGGATTTAGTTTCGAAGATCTCGTCGCGAGGAATCTTTTATATGAAAACGGTTTTTGCATCGGACTGACGGTTTGAGCTACAAAACATTTTGAATTTCTGGAATATGAGAGAATCTATGATGACATCAGTTTTTTTTTCATCTAGTGCATGTCCGTAATTAAAGGAATGAAAGAACGTGAATGAAGATTAAGTCACTCTAATACATGCATGCATGTAATTATATAGAAGAAACGAGGTGTGATAGTTTTGCTATCTGCCACACATGTGCCAAATATCACAGTCCTTCGGTCCCTCTCTTAACAGGCCACTACCTAGCTCCGTGCACCGCAAGCCGTTGCTTTTTTAGTCTAAAAATCAGATGCTTACGCCGATGTCAACTAGGTGTGTTACAGTACGCATGTAACACGCAAGTATGTCAACGCCAGATTTTTCAAAAGGTAGATTGGACCCAGTAACTCCCATGCTTTTTCACTGGAGTGCATCTTCTCATCTTCTAGCCGCACAGAGTAAAATCCGCACGTAACAATATCCCATCACCTGATTCTGTTCTTGAAAAGGAATTTCACATCGCTTGTATCCGGTTGCCTCCTTGCGGTGATTTGTATCACAGCACCATCAGCAAGCATGCGCTGAACAACTCTTGTAATGTTTTTCGCGTCATCGATGCCGAGATGGTGGCTTCCAACAATTGGGATTTGAAGCTCCCTCATCATTGTCATCATTCCAGTTGCCTGGCAAAACACAGGTCATGGAGTGCACACTTTAGTTCAAAGATAAACACCTCATGAACAATCGGAAACTCTATTCTAATGAGCATGGGTTTAATTCGCTTACTCTTCTATTGTAGAAGTTGAGGTAGATATCCTTCAAATTGATCCACTCCATAAAGTAAGATGGCAATTTTATTTTTGAAACCTTGCACTGCTCAGGGACCTTCGTCTTCAAATCCCAATTACCACTGGTATATTGACAGAAACATGAGAACAGACACATTATAGAACCTGAAGCACAGAAAACAAATTCTACTGTGGAAACCTAGCTTGGGTCAATAAAAGATGTACTACAGACAGGGTGCACATCTTGCATTGGGCAAAACCCCATTAAGCCATGTTAGGAGCCCTCCTAACCTGTACATGGCAGGGGACTTGCCATTGAGCCAACCCACGGACTTGGCCCATCTGCGACCCATCTCTACAGCTACAAGTACAAGGGAGAAGATAGAGAGCGGGTATCCAGTGGATCACATCACGAACCGGCCGCGGCTTCTTCCCTTTCCACCTTCCCCAATTCTTGTATCCAGAGACTGTAATCCCTAAATTGGTACTTGAGTTCGTGTGCTAGATCAATAGATCGAGAGAGGAACTGTGAGGTTCCTAACATATGATATCAGAGCTGGGCCCCACAACACCCTAAGGGGGGCTTCCCTAGGGGGGTGGGGTGTCAGGAACCTGACCTTGGGCAATGCTAGTGACTTTAGTCCCACCTCGGATATGGGAGGAGGCCAGGAGCTCCTTATAAGGGAGATTGCCACACTCCCTTTAGGCTGGTCTTTTGGGATGTAGTGGGCTCTTCCCTTGTAGTGGAGTGTCGGATGCGCACCGGAAACGTCCGAACATATGCCGATGGACCGGGAGCTAGGCCTAGGCTGCTAACAAGTGGTATCAGAGCCAGGTTATCAGAGGCCAGGCACCACCCTTCCCTCGCTCGATCTGCCGCGGACGTGAAGCTTGCGGCAAGGTCTACATCAACTTGAAGCCATGGATCCATCTATCAAGGATTATTTTGAGAAAATACTCTCCCGCATGGAGGAAATCCAAGTCGAGCTTCGCAACAGCACGGACACCATCAGGTCCAACAACGCCAAGCTTGACGGCATGAATGTCATTGCTCTGCAGCAGGAGCGCGCCCCCTCTTCGGCGCCGCTCGGTGAGGATGGACTCGATTCGGCTGCTTTATTCACTACCCCAACCCCACAGGATACTCCCGTCACGCTCCATAGCCGCCTCGCGGCCGTGGCGCTCACCCCATCATCAACCGCCGCCGCGGTCTTCTCCGGTTGTGATGACAAGTTCGTCCGCTCCGCCACCCTTGCGACGACTATCACCACGCCTGCAGTCCTCCCCGACACCTATTCACCTGCTGGAAGGACGCACAAGGTCGTTGAGGTCCTCTGTGATGGGTCCCCTGACCACATTGTCATTGCGCCCAGGACCTGTTCGACAGAATGCTCAAACCAAGTTGGAGCCAAGTCGCTTCCGCCTCCAGTCACGATGGCATCACAACTCCCAACAGCCACACCTGCGCGCATCGACGACCTCGTTCATCCTGCTACCAATGCTGTTGCTGCAATGCAGCCATTCCTGGACCATGACCTGAACGTCTTACCGCGCACTAGGCATCAGGGGCTGCTGCTACGACCGACGCCGTGGCCATCGTTTCTAGCGGATTGTACTGCAGAGGGTATGGAGATTCGACCAACTCCGTGGCCGCCATCTCCGGTCGGTGTGCCACTAGCTGACACTGATGATTCAGATTTCAGTCTGCATTTGTTCTGTCACGTGAAGAAAATGGGTGTTCTGAGCACAGAATTATCCGGCAGTTTTGGTCTTCAGTTAAGGCAATTTGAATCTTCTGGCCCAACTGGCATCATAGTGCACTGGAAATTTGTTAGCAGTTCAAGTATGAGAACATCCTGCAGGTATCTACTAAGTGTGCACCTGAAACTATATTCCTCTGAGAAGGTTGTTTGCTGGATCCATACAGTGGCAAGAGCTAATTCTGTGATCATGCGATTACTCGATATCCAACTGAAATTGTGTTCTGAACTACCTAATGGTTATTTGATCTATATGGATTTTATCAACATTGCATTGATGGGATCAGAGGTGATACATAGGAAGCAAATTCACCACAAGGGCTTGCTGTCATATTCATGTTATGGACTGCAGCCATGGGGGGATCCTGAATATTTTATCCATGGTACTGATGCTTATGAATTGTATTTGGAGATGCTTGTGCTAGTGAGGAAGATGTGGAAATCAGAGCACTGTTGGGCATCTCGCTTGTGTCTTTTACAGTGGCACAACAAGCTGCTTGAGATTATGTGTACTGCTCCTAGTTATAGTCTACAGGTGAGCACCAAGTACAGGTTTGCGCAACAACAAAAAGGGAGGTATAGTTTGCTTGCAGTTATTGAACTCATGATTTGCCCAATGTATATGAGGATGGTACTTGCCGTGGTAATATTCAGGGGGCTCGTACGTACAGCTACAGCAGAGAACAATGGCCCAAGTAGTTCAGTTGTAAGTGTCATTACTCCACTCATACATAGCACCAACACTTGTTTTTTTGGGAATATCCTAGTACTGGCCTGGAGATCAATGGGACTGCCAATGGAGAAAGTATCCAAGGTAACTTGCTCCTGTGATTTTTCCTTGCCTTCGGCATATAGACCATGGATGGTATCCTGGGTAATGGATACAAATGGTCTTGTAACTGTCGACAAAATCAACCCTATAGGTTTGCATTACTTGGCTGTTTGCCCTATAGGTGATCCCTACCTCCCTCTTGATTGGATCAGTGCCTCCGCTCTTTATGGCCGTATGATTGCACGGTGCTTGGATTTTGTGCAATTGGATACTACATGTGTGTTAGCAGCAATACCTTTCTTGGTTGATTATTTGGACGATGGACATCTTGTAGCATATCCGAAACCTGGCACAGCCCGTGCCTCTTGGAATGACAGCCAGGGGCATTCCCTTATTCAGTTTGAGAAGTTTTGGGCCACTGGAATTGAGAGAGAGAGAGGTGTTTGATCCCAGGTGTACTTTTCGAGTCCGGGCGCACACTCCTCAACAAATATCTGGTGATCTATTAATCCTTCGTACATGTTTCATAGCTAGCTCAGCATACGTGCAATCTGCAATCTGGGTGCACCCCAAATGGGCTCCTTCCAACAGCCCCGTTCCTCCTCGAACCGCAGTTGCTTTGGTATCCCAGTTCGATTGTTGCTGACTTTATTCCAGGAGTCCCTTGTGCCTACTGCTTCTCTTATGTGCAGTCTGGCTATATGTTCGCTGTTGTGTTTGGAGCTATACCGTATGAACTGGCAACAATTCTGCATCCTTCACTGGACATATCCAAGCTGCAACCTGATGACTACAACAACCATTGTCTCCTGCTTCAGTTTATTTCTGCTATAAGGGAGCTGGAGTTTGAAATGGCCATCTACCATCCGGGTATGTCTTGGGATCCTGGAGGGCTTGCATTGTTGTTGGTAAGGAAATGGACTCAACGGGAGGTCTTTCAAGGAGGAAGATGCGCCATGATCTTGGTTGCCTGCTGTCTTGTCACCTTCCCAGCTTCTACTCTTCAACCATCGACAATTATGATAGCGGAGGTAATCAGCAAGAGAGCACAGGCTCCACTGTCTTGGTTGCCCGACAATTATGATGGTGGTATGGTGTTCTCTACCTGCTCCGATCAAGAACATGCTCAAGGAGGGAGGGGTGTCATCGCTGCCCGCTTCGCGCAAGACTCTATCGACCACAAGTACTACATCCGCTTCAACAACAACTACTTCCTCGACACCTCCTTTGGCTGGCTCGCTATCGTCCACGACTACTACTCCCACGTCGTTCAAGTCAACCCCGCCTTCGTCTGCCACCGCGAATTTGAGCTAGTCAAGGACCATCGAGTGCAATGGGACCCGGGTGGCTCTTGGTGGCGTCAGCTTGGGGTCAAGCCGGATTTCAAGGAGGGAGGGATGTTAGGAGCCCTCCTAACCTGTACATGGCAGGGGACTTGCCATTGGGCCAGCCCATGGACTTGACCCATCTGCGACCCATCTCTACAGCTACAAGTACGAGGGAGAAGATAGAGAGCAGGTATCCAGTGGATCACGGCACGAACCAGCGGCAGCTTCTTCCCCTTCCTCCTTCCCCAATTCTTGTATCCAGAGACTGTAATCCCTAAATTGCTACTTGAGTTCGTGTGCTAGATCAATAGATCGAGAGAGGAACTGTTAGGTTGCTAACAAGCCAGAAGCAGAAACCCACTGGTTCCTGGTTAAACCAAATTTGTAATGTGGTTTGGTCTCCAAATCTAGTAGGCACTCTTGTGTTCTCAGAACTTGTGGATAACTTAAAGAAATTCCGGCCAGGAATTCCACGTTTTGCCATTTTCATTTAACATTTCTAATCAGTTCTTAATATCTATGATCCCAACCCTTGCCTAAAGATCTGGTCTGGGAATGTTAACTCTACTAGATTCGCTTAGACCAGAGGCATGTCGATTAATACTAGACAATGAAATTTTATGTTGCAGGACTCAATGATCCAAATTTGGAAGAAAATATGAAACACTTACAAATGACAGTGTTTTTCTTTAAGAAAAATGTAGTATTCGAAGCCAAACTTACCAAGTAACGAATGCAGCACTGTTGAGGGATTCTCCTTGTTTCTGTTTCCACAATTTGTGACCTCCAATCCAGTCTTCAAACTCTCGAAGAACTTCCCCGAAAGGGACAGCAGTGTCATGCCATACACTTAAACATTGAACGACAGACAAAGTTGTTAGTATGTGTAACCCAAATTATTGAGAGCAAATAAATACATCAGGCTTCTAGACTATTTTAGTGTGATAATCTAATGACATGCTGCAACAGTTGTTGCATATACATCCTCCAAAAGGGCTACTAATGCATCCTTGTTGCTATTTAATGCACCCTCACATGAATAATGTATTAATTTGTATTCAAGCTCCGCCATTAGGTGATTGCAAATTTGCATATCATATGCCGCCTATGATCAGCCAGGTGACAGGTTACATCCACAATAAAGATTGAACAAAAAATCTTGAACTCGCATGTTAACAGAATAAAGTCAATGTTGTGCTACTTCTGTAAATTCACACTCAAATCATAAAATAAATAGTTCTGAAGAGAGCAAAATAGTGCTGCACATACCGGTCAACTCCAAACTTTCCATATTTCCCTTCTATATATTCTTCTATTCGTTGCTCACTCATTGCAGTTGGGCGTACAAATCTACAATCAACATACAAGAGGGCAGAGTGTTGGCTGCTGGCTAAGGATACGTCAAAAGAAATAAGGAAATACCAGAAATGTATTAACTATTACAATCTACAGTTGTGCATAAGCCAAGACGAACACAGCAGAGGAGAAGCTAACTTGTACAAGAGGCATATGTTCTGGTGTCAGAATTTTATTTACTTAGTCATGTATATATTTAAATGTGGAATTCAAGCTTATGGCGACATATAAGAAGCAACCAGTCACATTCTCTTAATTATGGTTCATAAGTATTGATATCCTAGGTTTTATCAGATTGTACAAAACAAGAAAATGATGAATTCAAGAACTGGCTTTCATTTTGAGTACATACCAAACTCAAAAAGAATTAGCTACACAAAAGCATGATTCAGTCTCGAGTGCATATGTATATAACCAGGGAAACTGTAGTGCTGCTCATCATTAGTTCAATAGTTAGTCATGGTTCTCCATAGATCCCTTGATACACTCCCCCAAGTAATGTTTTACTAAGTATATATGTTAAGAACACGGTGGAGGCACATGTTAAAAGTACCCAGCCAAGTAACTCTGATTTTTGTAACACATTGCTGGCAATCTCATGAGTCATCTATGGTCTAAAGAGTTCGATAATCATTCAAATAAGCATATAGACTGAACCAAATAATTTTAATATTCCATGATTTACAAATAAGTTGTACCTGTGAAATGAATCGATGAACTCCATGCTGTGGGCGTCAATCATTACAACTGGGAATTCAAGAATTTCAACCTTTCCCTCCAAATCAAGAACTAAAAAATAATCCAGTTTCTGAGGCTTCACTTTATCTGCAGCTGAAGCATTCACTGGTAGGTCCACCGACAAATTATGATTGAACTTCTCAAGATGCAAAGCATCATCCATCTGTGGAAACACAAATCTAAATTAAAATGGTGCTTCCACTAAATAATCAAGTATTAGTGCAGTATTTTTATTAAGGGCTGCAAATCTGTTTAAGGACATTCAAACGGAGTGGACACTGCTTCGCCAAACCAAAGATTTACTAATTTGAAAACTCATATGATTATCACGCCACATAAAAGTTGGAGTACTCATCAAGACTAGTTCTAAATGCACTGAATAAAGTATTGATTAAGCTTTAAAGAATCCATATATGTTTAAACAGATACAGGTCATACTGTCAACACTAAATTAAAAATAGAGTAGCTTTCCACATTGTACATTCCTAAAACAAAACTATCAGTTAATATTGATGCCACGAGATTTATTGAACTTCTAAGAAGACTAAGAGTTCACAAGTGCTATGTTCTTTAACCTATTAGGGAACCGCACCCAGATTTTCTAGCAATCCATATTCCAGCCTTCTATTCTTGTCTCTCATCCACTGTATACAGATGAGGATAACTAAATATCCTGTTCAGCTCTTCTCATATACTCCCTCCGTCCCAAAATAAGTGGCTTTGATTTAGTACAACTTTATACTAAATCAAAGCCACTTATTTTGGGACGGAGGGAGTACATGTCTATATAAACTACTAAAACTCATGGCTTCTAGAAACTTTCCCAGTAAATTCTAGAACTAGTTTTATCATTTATTTTTTATTTCTATTTGTTCTGCGTGATTTATTAATCCTAACCTAATTTGTGATATTACATAACAAATTTTACTAGTAGCAGATAATACGGGGGAGACTAGTATAGGATAGGTGAGATCAACGGGATCAATTTTTATTTTTTTTTGAAAATACAAAACATGTTCAAACACTCTCAAAAAAATTGCAGACATACATCAATGTTTGATGTACAACCTCAAAAAGTTTCAGCTCCAAAATCGACCTACACTAATACAACAACAAAGCCTTTAGTCCGAAACAAGTTGGGGTAGGCTAGAGGTGAAACCCATAAGATCCCACAACCAACTCATGGTTCTGGCACATGGATAGCAAGCTTCCACGCACCCCTGTCCATGGCTAGTTCTCTGGTGATACTCCAGTCCTTCAGATCTCTCTTTATGGACTCCTCACATGTCAAGTTCGGTCTACCCCGACCTCTGTTGACATTATCAGCACGCTTTAGCCGTCTGCTATGCATTGGCGCTTCTGGAGGCCTGCGCTGAACATGCCCAAACCATCTCAGACGACGTTGGACAAGCTTCTCTTCAATCGGTGCTACCCCAACTCTGTCTCGTATATCATCATTCCGAAATCAGTCCTTCCTTGTGTGGCCACACATCCACCCCAACATGCGCATCTCCGCCACACCTAACTGTTGAACATGTCGCCTTTTAGTCGGCCAACACTCAGCGCCATACAACATTGCAGGTCGAACCGCCGCCGTCCTATAGAACTTGCCTTTTAGCTTTTGTGGCACTCTCTTGTCACAGAGAATGCCAGAAGCTTGGCGCCACTCCATCCATCCGGCTTTGATTCAAAGGTTCACATCTTCATCGATATCCCCATCCTTCTGCAGCATTGACCCCGAATATCGAAAGGTTTCCTTCTGAGGCACCACCTGCCCATCAAGGCTAACCTCCTCCTCCTCGTGCCTGGTAGTACTGAAACTGCACCTCATGTACTCCAGTTTTAGTTCTACTAAGTCTAAAACCTTTCGATTCCAAGGTTTGTCTCCATAGCTCTAATTTCTAGAACATGTTTTTACCATTAAAACTCATAAAACGACTCAATTGCTAAAAACATTGGTGACATGTGTAGGTTTTATTTAGCTGTAACTAGTAAACCAAAATGTCGTAAAACAATCTCATTGTGTAAACTTGGACAGTGGCAACGTGAATACTCCATAGTCCATAAGTAACTCCTCTTTTTCTTTACTTTATACATCACTCAACTTGATTATATTAGCAACTTAATTCACCAGAGATACTTCCATTGCTAGCCTACCATGTCGGAAGCTGTTAGCATCCTGCACACCTTCAGTCTTTAGAAAGACAATTTTTTCCTTATAGTTAGTCCAGAAAATATTTCTGCATACTATGTTTTAAATCTTCACCAAGTTAAAATATATGATGTCTGCTCTACAGCCACACAGTCTAAATCAAATTTACCATCCTAACACATGCTATTCTTGAATTGCAAAGGCGTGTATCTGGACCCAAATGTTTGCTTTATGAAACCACACGTCCACACCACATACCACCTTGCCAGCCATGTAACTGAAGGAAAACGCAAAATAACCATCGACAACTACTCCCTCTGTTCACAAATATAAGATGTTTTGGATATTTCAGTATGTACTGCAGACGGACTGAAATGAGTAAAGAAACACACTAAAGCGTGACTATGTACATCCGATTCACAAAAAAGTTAGAACATCTTATATTTGTGAACGGAGGGATTAGAAGATACGCACAACCTTACAGTTCCAAGCTCATGATTTCACCAATGCCTCACCCCAAAATAACCATGAAAGACTTCTTCTCCTGGCATTATTGAGTTCTTGTGTGCTAGCAAATGTAACTAATTTATAACTACCTACGCAAACACAGAGATGGCTCGGCACGGGGAACTAACCGGTAAGCAAGCGACACTCAGGGGAAGAGGCGGGAAGAAAAATCACCATGGTGCATCTTCCCTGGGTGTAGTACAAGCACGTAGGCTTCCACGGCCGCCTGGAGGTGGACCTCGGGGCTCCCGCCACCTCCCCCTCCTCCCTCGCAGTAGGAAGGAGGGGAGAAGCTTGGGAGAGACTGGCATCGATGGGGAGGCTTCTTGGGTGAGAGAGGCGACGAGCCGAGACGGAGGAGGTAGAGAAGGGGCGCAGTAAGGAATGGAGCAGGGAGGAGGTGGTGGTGGTGGAGGGGAGTAGGAGGAGGCGGGAAGAAGATGAAACCCTTGCGAGCGCCATTCCAATCGATGCCTCTCCGGCTGAGTTGCGGGAAGCTGATGCAGATAGGGGATGATGGGATCGACTGGGTCAGAGAGCCAGTCTGTTGGGCTCATGGGCTGCTACTCTGGGGCAGAAACGTGGAAAGCCTGGGGCAGAGGCAATTGCACCCATGTACAAGAATTTAGTTTGTCTCAAAAAAAAAGTACAAGAATTTAGTTTGTCTCTATCTCTACTACTTATAAAAAAGCAAACATAATCTTCTCTAAACGCACCCCATAAAATAAACACAGACTCATTACCACCGCATGATCAGGCCCACTAAACTCAATCTAACGGCTATCCTTAGTCTAACTCATTTTCTGTGCACTTAGCAATTTATATTGACTGACCGTACTCCACCACAGATGAAATTGCACGCCCGGTAAATTAGGAAAATATAATCGTGGACACATTCTATTAGGAAACAAATCATGGGCGCGTCCTATTATATAGGAAACTAATCAGAGGTGCATCCATCCTATTAGGAAACTAAATCACAGGCATAGTATATGCAATATTGTCGCCGCCATCGTCTTCTGCCTTCGGGCCAGGGCGCTCTTCCGTCCGAGTGCGACAACTGCATCCACGTCCCGAGCATGCTCTCCGGCGGTGTCGGCTTCAGCTCCGTCCGATCTCCCACGTTGACAACCACCCACTATCGACGCCCTCCAAGTACAAGCCGCCAACCGCCATGGTCCCTAGGGCGGCGTCGGTCTCGGACGTGGCGCAACCAACGTACACCGTCAAGGGCACCAATTTGGGGGTATTTTGGGCTTTGCACGACTAATATTGTACCTTTGACACTTGGTGGTCGGTCAGATTTTTTTGATTTGCAATTTCATCTACCAACCAATCCTCCTCTAACGTGTAGTAGAAACATTTTGGGGAAAGGAAGAATTGCTATTTTGGAGTTTAATTAATCATTTGATAATTCCAAATACATGTTATCTGGAGCATGAAAACCATTCCCATATATAGATGAAGGAGGAGATGAGACTGATTGTAAGAGTGTATTTGTTTAGACCTACATAGTTCAGTGAGTGCACGTGCATTACAGATTAAACAAGAATCTTGGGGCTTCAAGCAATCTAGAATTCAAGATTTGGGATTATCTTAGGTTGCCTGCTTGTACTGCAAATGTATAATCTGATATGACGCGTACATAAGAACTGTGCAGTAGTCTTGGATTACAACTTAGGATCAGAGGGATACTGAAGAAGTGAAGATGCATTTCTCTCTTTCTCAGGGTTATTTCTATTGCCAGATGCATTAAACTGGACCGTATCAAGAGATAACACCATCATAATGATTAGAATTGCCTTATTATGGTGTGATTATGTTTACGGATGATGTCCCTTAGCTTGGAATTAAGGTGGGTGGAGCCTAGGTCAAGGGGTTGGAAATCAGAATATATAATTCATTCTTTATTTTTATTCATATCCCATTTTAGTTTATGTACGCATAGACTGTCTTATAGCGTTGTAGGTTTGTCTGGTTGCCAGCATGTAAACATATACAAAAACGGATAAATACTTTGTATTATGATGATTATTGGATTTTTTTAGTCCTTTTACATTTCAGTTAGTTCTTGTAAAGCATCTTCTATTTCGTCGTTTTAGTCACATATCATCTTGTATTTCCTATTATCGATTATATAGGCGGAAATCCCTTTTGGAGCTCGGCCTCCAATGAGGCCTCCAAATTCAAATTTGAAATTTCATCGAAATTCATATTTTTGTATTTAAAAAATTCTAAAAAAATACAGATATACATGTAAGCATAACACACATATGTGTAAATTTTCAGTTCAAAATACATTGAACTGAGGGCTATGCAAAAAAGACAAATCTGTGATTGTTTAACACATGATACTCTTCATCCTACGAGACCATGAATTTGTCTTTTTTGTACAGGTTGCAAATCAAGGTATTTCATCATGAATTTTTACACATACGTGGATTACATCCTTACATACAAGCATATTTTTTCAGAATTTTTTTAATCATAAAAATTTGAATTTGAATTTTAAAAAATTAAAGGCCTCCAAAACGCCTCTCTCTTATATAGGTAGCTATATAATTTTTGCAGTACATATAACCGAAAAGTATATATAATTTTGATCTAAATTAGTATTTAATATATTTTGCTATGTAGATATTAGGTAATTTTGGCAGTACACATAACTGAAAAGTATATATATTATCTTTCATTTGATATATATATGTATATATATATATGTATATATATATATATATATATTTGCAAAAAAAAATTACTTTGTACTATGTGAATCTCATCTGGTTTACGTTTAAGACGTGTGTTGCACGTGCATACTTACTAATCTAAAAAAAACGAAAAAGCTATTTTTCAGTCGACTGGAAATTCGCTAATAGATCCAAACGACCCGCGCGTCGTTGGATCTAGATCGCACGATCACGATTTTTTAGCGGACATCGTCTTATCTTATGGAAACTATCCCTTCGCTCCTCCCCGAAATCACGCTGATTATTACCTGCCCGCCTGCATTCCTTTTTTTCGCGCTGAATTAATTACGTGCACGCCCGCACTTGCCTTTCTTTCGCAGGTACTAATAACCATCCAAAAATAGAGCAGGTTGGGCAAGAAAAATTGCATGCTGGGGGACTCGAACTCAACACCTGTGACATGTAGCTAAGGAAGACCTCAATCCACTAACCACTCTACTCTATCTATGTAGTAGGTGTTAAGTTAAATAAAGCTAAACTATTTGATTATGATATTTAGTACTGCATCTCCTATAAAACATACATTTTCCATTTTTAATTTCATGAGTTTTCTCTTGTTTATCTTTGTTGTTCCACTTTATGATGAAAGTAGGTATCTCCACCAACACTCGGATGACGGCGCGGATGATTTTGGTGATGTGATCAACAATTCTTCTAAAGAATATTCAGTCCAAGAGGTAGGAGATGTTGACGAAGAGAAGGCGGTAGGTCATCTCTAAAGCCGGTAATTTTTGGGCCGCAAACGTGATAATTACATCTGAACACCGTGATAATTTTAGCCCGATGTGGAAAAAGTTGTTGAAATATAACAACCAGTAATTTCTATGTGAATAGCCTGGTAATTTATGCACCGCGGACCTGATAACTTACATGCAAACACGATGATATCTTCTAAACCAGTCGAAGTTGATGAAGTATCCCTTGGTAATTTCGGTGTGAATATCATGATAATTTACGCGCCGCAAACATGATAACTTTTCCCTCCGTCGGGGGAGGGGTTTTGACGAGATATAACCTCGATAACTTCTGTGTAAATATGATGATAGTTTACGCATCACAACCCTAATAACTTACGTACAAACATCACAATAAGTTTTGATTGGGGTAGCAGAAGCTATGATGCTTTCACGGCAGAAGCCATTGCTATAAGATTTGGTTTGAACTTGGCACGTATAGCAGGCTGCAACACAATTGAAGTTAATTTGGATAACTTGGAGGTAATAGCTGCATTGAAGGAGGGCTATTCATCTTCAGTAGCCAGTGCCATCTTTGATGACTGTTTTTTTATGTCTCTTGATTTCACTCATATCTTGTATGACCATTGTAGTAGAGACAACAATGGTGTAGCCCATGAACTAGCTAGACTTGAGTTCTCACCTCCTGATGTATGGTTGGATCCCCCCCCCCAGGGAAATCCTCCCGTTGATTGTTTCTGATGCTACTTTTGTAGCAACTTAATAAAGAGGAGGTTTTTGTGTCAAAAAAAAGTTTTGATTGGGGTGGGGGGTGTTGAAAACACACAACCCGATAACTTCTGAGTAAAATAGCATGATAATATACACACCACATACCTGATAACTTAATTACAAACTCTGTGATAACTTATGACTCTGGAGGAAAAGTGTTTGAAAACATAACAGGTAAGTTCTATGTAAAGAACATGGTAAAGTATGCACAACAAAGTTGATAACTCACATACACACACCATGGTAACATTTTTGACCCTAAAATATTTTCATCATACACCGTGGTTGATGAAATATCCCCCTAGCAACTATTTATGTGAATAACATAGTGACTCGGACATCACATACCAGATAACTTATATTCCTCGGTTCTGATAACTTTGACATGGGGGGTTGGGATTGATGAAATATCCTCTCGGTAACTTTTGTGTGAATAGCATGGTAACTCACACACCGCATACATGATAACTTATGTGCCTCGGTCTCGATAACTTTGGCGAGGAGGTTGTTCTAAAAACATCCCCCTGATAACCTTTGTGTAAATAGTTTGATACTCTACGCATCGTATACGTGATAACTCACGCACCAACACATGATAGGAAGGTTGGAGATACCAGGTTATACCTCGGTAATATCCGTGTAAACATTATGGTAACATATGTAGTACATGCGTGATTACTTACGTAGCCCAGTCATGGTAACTTTTGATCCGAGAAAAAAGTTGTCGGAACATATCAACATGAGATCTATTCTCAAAGCTCTCGCCGTGACAGACTTTTTATGTGAAAATGATTTTTCGATTGGATTAACCGTTTGATTTACAGAACATTTTGAAGTTTTGAAATAGGGGGAGGGGGGATATAGGATCACATCATTTTTTCTGTCCTCTAATTCATTTGCACATGGGGAGAAGGTTGAAGGACCATTTTTATGCCCCGGTAATTTTTATATAAACAAGATGGTAACTTAGTTATCACAGATGTGATAACTTACCCAGCCTGGGCCTGATAACTTTTCACCCAAAAAAAATTCATCGAAATATATCAATATGTGATCTAGTTTTGAAGGTCTCGTCGTCACGAATCTTTTATGTGAAAACAGTTTTTCAACCGGAGCGACGGTTAGAGCTACAAAACATTTTGAATTTTTGAATTCGATGAAATCTCTGCTAACATTATCATTTTTGTTTTATATGCATGCATGCAACAATGGAGAAAAAGAATCCATATGTTCACGGTTTCTTTTAAAGAAATCAGTCCCATGCATGCACCTACTTTAGTGAAGAGAGGAAAAATCGTGTGAATCTGTTGCTAATAATCCGAACAATTAGACATTAGCAGAGTCCTAAAAAAATGTACAAGAATTTAGTTGTCTAAAAAAAATGTACAAGAATTTAGCCAAGTACGACGAGGAGTGGTCTCAAAGCGAGAATCGTCGCCGCCAATGCTGCCTCCTCCAAGGACCGCCGCCCTCTCCCCCAACGCAGATTCTCGATAGCAGCGGCCGCACTGCACGCGCCCTTCCGCTGCCCGAAGCCCGACTCTGACGACTCCGACGTCGGATCCGACGACGATGGCGGAGGAGTCGCCGGCCATGCCGCTGTCAAGTATAGTGTAGTTTAGGGTTTCTGTTTTAGGTTTTTAGTTCATGGGACAAAAAATCGTCTAATTTTATGTAAAAAATATCCTAGTTTATATGAACTTCATTTGGTTTATATCAAAATCTGCCCGGTTTGTAAGATGTTCATCTGGATAATTCAAATAGTTGTTGAAATGTATGTGACAGCGTTAGATGGCGGTCTCTAGGATCAGTGTCCGCCGACATATGCGGGAGGAAATTTATGGGTCGGTGTTGGAGATGCCCTTAAAGAACTTTTTGTTGGTTTGTAGGATCGAAAACCATATGAATTTTTCATATGATCTACTTCGCATGGATTTCTATATGAAAATTTCCATCAAGTCGAATAGTACAAAATTTTATTTCTCTGTTTCAATTATAACCATATATGCCATCCACGTAATCTTTTGGAACATTCTGGCGCTTTTGCTCTAGCACAACCAGACAACACATCATTCACTCGATTCCTGTAGAATTCGGCATGTCATGAAATCCAATCCAACGGATTTTGCACTGGCTCTGGCTTATTGCTTTGTGTACGGTTCAACAACATATTGTCAAAAAAGAAAGAATTTACACCAAACAACATTGTGTACACTATTTACGCTGTGAGCCCCTGGGCCATATCAGCTTATTCAGTTTTATTGGCGTAATTTAGACAAGACAATACATGAACTGATGCATACACCAAATTCCCTATTTTCTGCGCAGATCAGCATCTTCGACTGTACACTTCAACAACTATTATTATAAACTGTGTAAACCACATGAAGCACCAAATGCATTATGCACCTGTCTTTGTTTAGTAATCTGCATTTGGCTGCCCCATCTGTAATAGTTTAACATTTACGGGGCTACGTCCTCATTGGGGGTCTGAAGGTGTATAGTCATTCGCTCCCGGAAGATAGAGCATTTGCTTCGATCCAGTCGAAAGCAAGTGGACTGAGAAAGGCATCAGGGATTCCGAAAGAATCGACAATAGCAAGCGCATGGGGCCTGAGTTCACTGCACAGTATCATGACTTCTTTCCTCACGGTGGCTACATTGTCCCGCGACAAATAACCGTATCTCAGAAAAGATGCAGATTCGTCTATGCACACCATTACATACATAGACCTCAGTAACCCCAATACATCCTGCGAATGACAAATTCAAGGTATAATGAGGATTACTTTTACAAGAAAAGAAGTTACACATCATTCTGATGATTCCAGTCATCGGTGGGAAGTGAGTATACCTTTAAAGAACCAGCAGGAGCATTCATCTCATCCTCCAAAAATATTTGCAAAATTGTCCGCTCAGTAAATGCTCTAGCTAAGTCTTCAGCAATTTGGTAGCTCTGTGCGAATGTCATTCACGTTAATCTTAATGGAAATTTAGATCAGCAAGAAAATATGCAGTAGAAAGTAAAATTTACCAGCATCAGAGCCCTTTCTCTGCTCTCCCCTTGTGCCAGATAGCGAGCTACCTCCTCTGCGAACTGTTTCAGTAAATCCCGCTCCCTCAAGCAGAACAAATCCATCTAGCCATATGCACATAGCCAACATAAGAACATGATTTATCCCATGACAATAATAATAATAGAAGGGCAGCCCGGTGCACATAGCTCCCGCTTGCGCAGGGTCCAGGGAAGGGTCCGACCACTTTGGGTCTTTTGTACGTAGCCTTTCCCTGCATTTCTGCAAGAGGCTGTTTCCAGGACTCCAGACAGAGAAATCTTATCACTAACGAACTGCAATAAAATTCTTTACCTGGAACTTGGAGCTCCTTAATATGTCACTTGTCAGACTATGGGGAATAACAGGGCAAGGGCCATTCAGATGTTCCAATCCCAATCCCTTGAATGGCTTCTTCTTCCTTTGCGTCGTTAAAAATTCAGCGTATAGGGCTTTGCTTACCTGCGTCAACAAGATTAAATTAGGTACAATGAAGACAAGTTTGAAGTATCTTCCAGACACATGCATGGACAATGAACAACAATAAATGAAATAACCTGCTGGAGTAGAACATTATTGTCACCCTCAAATGTAGACTGAACATCAAATTCGGCTTTGAAAATTCCAAGGCGATTCTCGGTCTTTAAACCTTGGCCACCACAGGCCTCACGACACTCCTAACGCAAGAGAAGGAAAATCCAGTGAAAATCACTGATCCAAATATAGAGAAGAAAATGCTGATAAGCCTTTTAACAATACCTGAAGCGTGGTCATATTCTGCCAGGTTAATGTAGCTTTCAGAGCACTAGAGTAAACATGTATCGCTTTACTAATTTCAGGTGTTCTTTTCACATACACATTTTTCATAAAATTACTAGCACTGCTCATCATACACCTGCATAATAAGAACAAGTATTTAGCATATGATGGTCTGTGCTAAGTAGCAGTGAAAACATTGGCAAAAAAAGAAGGTTTGCATTAGAGAGTCCAATTAGGGGTGAAAATTTCTGAGGACTAGGTACCCTCCGACCCTCTTTAGTTCAATCAAATGAACTAAAAGTTTCAAAAACTGATGTGACTTTGGAAATTTAGTTCATTTGGTTGGGAACTAAAGAGGGTTGGAAGGTACCCTACAGGTTACGCATTTGCATCCCCAAGTCCAATTACATAGTGTGGAATATTTTTGCATCAAACACTAGTAGAAAACAGGGCTTTCGTCCAGGCCAGTTTAGCCCATTAGTCCCGGTTCAATCCAGAACCGGGACCAATGGAGCTATTTGCCCCGGTTCGTGAGCCCAGGGGGACGGCCAGGCCACGTGGGCCATTGGTCCCGGTTCGTCCGGACCTTTTGGTCCCGGTTGGTGGGACGAACCGGGACCAATGGTCCTGGCTCCTGGCCCACCACTATTGGTCCCGGTTGGTGGCATGAACCGGGACCAAAGGGTTACCTGTAGTCCCGGTTCATGCCACCAACCGGGACCAATGGTTCTGCCTATATATAGCCCCTCGCGCAAGAGCAGAGCACACTGCTCTGTTTTTTCTGGCCGAGGGGGAGAGGGCTTGATGGTGCTCTAGCTCACCTCCTATGCACACAAGGTGTTCGATGGAATGCCCGAGCCACACTACTTAAGGTTTCTCCTCTCCAAGCTCGACCGCCAAGCTCCATTTTCCTCAATATTTATCTAGGTTTAGCGGTCCGTCACGCCCCGTCCCCGTCTTCACCGCCGTCGATCACCCGCGCCGATCTCATCGCCGGCACCACCGTGGTGAGCCTTTTGTTCTTATCTTCTTTCTGAAAGGAAAAATATTATTACTTGTTTGTTTAGATAGATACTTGTATTATTTTCTTACTTTTATTATTGCATCTTATATAGTGCGCCGATGGTTTTGGTATCCGCCCCCGTCGGCCCTCGTCCTGTCTATGATTCGGATGTGGTATATATTATCTTTTCATAACTATTGGTTCATTTATTGTTTATGAAAATTATGCCGACCAACGTGACATAGATTTTATTTATCTAGGAGGTTGTTGAACCGGAAATTCCAACCGACCCTATTGTCGAGAGGTTAAATTTAGTTGAAGAAGAAAACAATTTCTTGAAGGAAAAAATAAAAAAACTTAAGGAGGAGAAGATGATATTGGAGTTGCATGTTGCGGATGCCGTCGATGATCACAAGATCAAGATGGATGCAATGCGCTTGAAGATGAGAAAGATTAGAAAATATGCCATTCATACCGAGGCTTGGTATCATTATGCCGTTGGATCAGTTGTTACCTTGGTTGCGATTATGATCGCATTTGTTTTCGCATTGAAATGTTTTACATAGTTTCAATGTATGGTTTAATTAATTTAGATGCTCTGCAGAGCTTTATGTTGTTAGATGAGAACTATGTATCTACTTTGGTTTTTATGTGATGATGAACTTCTATTAATTTGGTCACTTAATTATCTATTCATGATGTTCTGTAATGATTTTTGACACACTTAATTATATATAATGCACGCAGATGAACCGGCAATGGATGTACGGTGACAGACACACCTCCGAGTACATTAAGGGCGTGCATGATTTTCTCGAAGTGGCTGAGGCAAACAAGCAGAATGGTTTTATGTGTTGTCCATGCCCTATATGTGGGAATACGAAGTCTTACTCTGACCGGAAAATCCTTCACACCCACCTGCTTTACAAGGGTTTCATGCCACACTATAATGTTTGGACGAGGCACGGAGAAATAGGGGTTATGATGGAAGACGGCGAGGAAGAAGAGTACGATGACAACTATGTGCCCCCTGAATACGGTGATGCTACTGAACATCAAGATGCACCAGACGATGTGCACGATGGTGCTGCAACGGACGAAGCTGCTGAAGATCAAGAGGAACCAGACGATGTGCCCGATGATGATGATCTCCGCCGGGTCATTGTCGATGCAAGGACACAATGCGAAAGTCAAAAGGAGAAGCTGAAGTTCGATCGCATGTTAGAGGATCACAAAAAGGGGTTGTACCCCAATTGCGAAGATGGCAACACAAAACTCGGTACCGTACTCGAATTGCTGCAATGGAAGGCAGAGAATGTTGTGCCTGATAAAGGATTTGAGAAGCTACTAAAAATAATGAAGAAGAAGCTTCCAAAGGATAACGAATTGCCCGACAGTACATACGCAGCAAAGAAGGTCGTATGCCCTCTAGGATTGGAGGTTGAGAAGATACATGCATGCCCTAATGACTGCATCCTCTACCGCGGTGCCTACAAGGATCTGAACGCATGCCCGGTATGCGGTGCATTGCGGTATAAGATCAGACGAGATGACCCTGGTGATGTTGACGGCGAGCCTCCCAGGAAGAGGGTTCCTGCGAAGGTGATGTGGTATGCTCCTATAATACCACGGTTGAAACGTCTGTTCAGAAACGGAGAGCATGCCAAGTTGATGCGATGGCACAGTGAGGACCGTAAGAAAGACGGGAAGTTGAGAGCACCCGCTGACGGGTCGCAGTGGAGAAAAATTGAGAGAAAGTACTGGGATGAGTTTGCAAAGGACCCAAGGAACGTATGGTTTGCTTTAAGCGTGGATGGCATTAATCCTTTCGGGGAGCAGAGCAGCAATCACAGCACCTGGCCCGTGACTCTATGTATGTATAACCTTCCTCCTTGGATGTGCATGAAGCGGAAGTTCATTATGATGCCAGTTCTCATCCAAGGCCCTAAGCAACCCGGCAACGACATTGATGTGTACCTAAGGCCATTAGTTGAAGAACTTTTACAGCTGTGGAATGGAAACGGTGTACGTACGTGGGATGAGCACAAACAGGAGGAATTTAACCTAAAGGCGTTGCTGTTCGTGACCATCAACGATTGGCCCGCTCTCAGTAACCTTTCAGGACAGACAAACAAGGGATACCACGCATGCACGCACTGTTTACTTGACACCGATAGTATATACCTGGCAAGCTGCAGGAAGAATGTGTACCTGGGCCATCGTCGATTTCTTCCGACCAACCATCAATGTCGAAAGAAAGGCAAGCATTTCAAAGACGAGGCAGATCACCGGAAGAAGCCCGCCATGCGTACCGGTGATCACGTACTTGCTATGGTCAATGATTTACACGTAATCTTTGGAAAGGGTCCCGGCGGACTAGCTGTTCCGAATGACGCTGAGAATCACGCACCCATGTGGAAGAAGAAATCTATATTTTGGGACCTACCCTACTGGAAATACCTAGAGGTCCGCTCTTCGATCGACGTGATGCACGTGACGAAGAACCTTTGCGTGAACCTGCTAGGCTTCTTGGGCGTGTATGGGAAGACAAAAGATACACCTGAGGCACGAGAGGACCTGCAACGCTTGCACGAAAAAGAGGGCATTGCCTCCGAAGCAGTATAAAGGTCCTGCCAGCTACGCTCTTACGAAAGAAGAGAAAGAAATATTCTTTCAATGCCTGCTCAGTATGAAGGTCCCGACTGGCTTCACGTCGAATATAAAGGGAATAATAAATATGCCAGAGAAAAAGTTCCAGAACCTAAAGTCTCATGACTGCCACGTGATTATGACGCAACTGCTTCCGGTTGCATTGAGGGGGCTTCTACCGGAAAACGTCCGACTAGCCATTGTGAAGCTATGTGCATTCCTCAATGCAATATCTCAGAAGGTGATCGATCCAGAAATCGTACCAACGCTAAGGAGTGATGTGGCGCAATGTCTTGTCAGTTTCGAGCTGGTGTTCCCACCATCCTTCTTCAATATCATGACGCACGTCCTAGTTCATCTAGTCGACGAGATTGTCATTCTGGGGCCCGTATTTCTACACAATATGTACCCCTTTGAGAGGTTCATGAGAGTCCTAAAGAAATATGTTCGTAACCGCGCTAGGCCAGAAGGAAGCATCTCCATGGGCCATCAAACAGAGGATGTCATCGGGTTTTGTGTTGACTTCATTCCTGGCCTTAAGAAGATAGGTCTCCCTAAATCGCGGTATGAGGGGAGACTGACTGGAAAAGGCACGCTTGGAAGGAACTCAATAATATGCAGGGACGGATATTCTTGGTCTCAAGCACACTACACAGTTCTACAGAACTCTACCTTGGTGACCCCGTATGTCGATGAACACAAGAACAGTCTGCGCTCCAAACACCCGGAGCAGTGCGACGACTGGATTACATGTGAACACATCAGGACTTTCAGCAGTTGGTTGGAAACACGTCTCAGAGGTGAAAGCACTGTTTGTGATGAGCTGTACTTGTTGTCCAGGGGACCATCTTCGACTGTAATGATTTGGAAAGGATACGAGATAAATGGGAATACATTTTACACGATTGACCAAGATGAAAAGAGCACCAACCAAAACAGCGGTGTCCGCTTTGATGCAGCAACCGACAATGGAAATGACACATATTATGGTTACATAGCAGACATATGGGAACTTGACTACGGAGCAGATTTTAAGGTCCCTTTGTTTAAGTGCAAGTGGGTCAATCTGTCAGGAGGCGGGGTACAGGTAGACCCACAGTACGGAATGACCACAGTGGATCTGAAAAATCTTGGGTACACTAACGAACCGTTCGTCCTAGCCAATGATGTGGCACAGGTTATCTATGTGAAGGACATGTCTACCAGACCGAGGAAAAGAAAAGATAAAGAAGAGAATACATCATACAATGAGCCAAAGCGCCACATAGTTCTTTCAGGAAAAAGGGACATCCTGGGAGTGGAGGGCAAGACAGACATGTCTGAAGAGTATGAAAAGTTTCATGAAATTCCCCCCTTCAAAGTCAAGGTTGACCCAAGCATCCTGATAAACGATGAAGATTATCCATGGTTACGGCGCAATAAGCAAACGACACAAGCGAAGAAAAAGTGAAGACTTTCTCCCGCAACTATTATGATGATAACAT